GTACCCAACGCTTGTAATGTAGAAAGTATGTTCCAATTATTCGCGAGACCAATACACTCTGAGTTGTCTAATTCTTGCAAATACTACCCGAAAGGGTTATATATTGGTATTTAGGTAGGAAACATTGTAGTCTACAGATACAAACTCGATTTTTACAAAAACTGAGGTATTCAAGCTGGTTTTGGCATCCTCGAATCACGGGCTAAGACGAATGCTTGTAATGTAGAAAATATGTTCCAATTATTCACGAGACCAATACACTCCGAGCTGTCTAATTCTTGCAAATACTACCTGAAGGCGTCATATTTTGGTGTTTAGGTAGAAAACATTGTAGTCTACAGATACAAACTTGATTATTACGAAATGTGACGTAATCAAGCTGGTTTTGACATCCTTGAATCCCGGGCTCAGACATACTGAACGCTTGTAATGTAGAAAGTATGTTCCAATTATTCGCGAGACCCCTGCACTCCGAGCTGTGTAATTCTTGCAAATACTACCTGAAAGCGTCATATATTGGTATTTAGGTAGAAAACATTGTAGTCTACAGATACAAACTCGATTTTAACGAAATGTGAGGTAATCAAGCTGGTTTTGATATCCTCGAATCCCGGGCTAAGACGTACGCGCTTGTAATGTAGAAAGTATGTTCCAATTATTCGCGAGACCAATACACTCTGAGCTGTCTAATTCTTGCAAATACTACCCGAAAGGGTCATATATTGGTATTTAGGTAGAAAACATTGTAGTCTACAGATGCAAACTCGATTTTACAAAATGTGAGGTAATCAAGCTGGTTTTGACATCCTCGAATCCCGGCTAAGACATACCCAACGCTTGTAATGTAGAAAGTATGTTCCAATTATTCACGAGACCAATACACTCCGAGCTGTCTAATTCTTGCAAATACTACCTGAAAGGGTCATATATTGGTATTTAGGTAGAAAACATTGTAGTCTACAGATACAAACTCGATTTTACAAAACTTAGGTAATCAAGCTGGTTTTGATATCCTCGAATCCCGGGCTAAGACGAACGCTTGTAATGTAGAAAGTATGTTCCAATTATTCACGAGACCAATACACTCCGAGCTGTCTAATTCTTGCAAATACTACCCGAAAGGGTCATATATTGGTATTTAGGTAGAAAACATTGTAGTCTACAGATACAAACTTGATTTTTACGAAAACTGAGGTAATCAAGCTGGTTTTGACATCCTCGAATCCCGGGCTAAGACGTACCCACGCTTGTAATGTAGAAAGTATGTTCCAATTATTCGCGAGACCAATACACTCCGAGTTGTCTAATTCTTGCAAATACTACCCGAAAGGGTCATATATTGGTATTTAGGTAGAAAACATTGTAGTCTACAGATACAAACTCGATTTTTACGAAAATGTGAGGTAATCAAGCTGGTTTTGATATCCTCGAATCCCGGGCTAAGACGAACGCTTGTAATGTAGAAAGTATGTTCCAATTATTCGCGAGACCAATACACTCCGAGCTGTCTAATTCTTGCAAATACTACCCGAAAGGGTTATATATTGGTATTTAGGTAGAAAACATTGTAGTCTACAGATACAAACTCGATTTTTAGAAAATCTGAGGTATTCAAGCTGGTTTTGATATCCTCGAATCCCGGGCTAAGACGTACCCAACGCTTGTAATGTAGAAAGTATGTTCCAATTATTCGCGAGACCAATACACTCTGAGTTGTCTAATTCTTGCAAATGTTACCCGAAAGGGTCATATATTGGTATTTAGGTAGAACGCATTGTAGTCTACAGATGCAAACTCGATTTTTACAAAATGTGAGGTAATCAAGCTGGTTTTGACATCCTCGAATCCCGGGCTAAGACGTACCCAACGCTTGTAATGTAGAAAGTATGTTCCAATTATTCACGAGACCAATACACTCCAAGCTGTCTAATTCTTGCAAATACTACCCGAAAGGGTTATATATTGGTATTTAGGTAGAAAACACTGTAGTCTACAGATACTAAGCCGATTTTTACGAAAACTGAGGTAATCAAGCTGTTTTGATATCCTCGAATCCCGGGCTAAGATGTACCCAACGCTTGTAATGTAGAAAGTATGTTCCAATTATTCGCGAGACCAATACACTCTGAGTTGTCTAATTCTTGCAAATACTACCCGAAAGGGTCATATATTGGTATTTAGGTAGGAAACATTGTAGTCTACAGATACAAACTCGATTTTTACAAAACTTAGGTATTCAAGCTGGTTTTGGCATCCTCGAATCACGGGCTAAGACGAATGCTTGTAATGTAGAAAATATGTTCCAATTATTCACGAGACCAATACACTCCGAGCTGTCTAATTCTTGCAAATACTACCTGAAGGCGTCATATTTTGGTGTTTAGGTAGAAAACATTGTAGTCTACAGATACAAACTTGATTATTACGAAATGTGACGTAATCAAGCTGGTTTTGACATCCTTGAATCCCGGGCTCAGACATACTGAACGCTTGTAATGTAGAAAGTATGTTCCAATTATTCGCGAGACCCCTGCACTCCGAGCTGTGTAATTCTTGCAAATACTACCTGAAAGCGTCATACATTGGTATTTAGGTAGGAAACATTGTAGTCTACAGATACAAACTCGATTTTAACGAAATGTGAGATAATCAAGCTGGTTTTGATATCCTCGAATCCGGGCTAAGACGAACGCTTGTAATGTAGAAAGTATGTTCCAATTATTCGCGAGACCAATACACTCCGAGCTGTCTAATTCTTGCAAATACTACCCGAAAGGGTCATATATTGGTATTTAGGTAGAACGCATTGTAGTCTACAGATGCAAACTCCATTTTTACAAAATGTGAGGTAATCAAGCTGGTTTTGACATCCTCGAATCCCGGGCTCAGACATACTGAACGCTTGTAATGTAGAAAGTATGTTCCAATTATTCGCGAGACCCCTGCACTCCGAGCTGTGTAATTCTTGCAAATACTACCTGAAAGCGTCATACATTGGTATTTAGGTAGAAAACATTGTAGTCTACAGATACAAACTTGATTATTACGAAATGTGACGTAATCAAGCTGGTTTTGACATCCTCGAATCCCGGGCTAAGACGACCGAACACTTGTAATGTAGAAAGTATGTTCCAATTATTCGCGATACCAATACACTCCGAGCTGTCTAATTCTTGCAAACACTAACCGAAAGGGTTATATATTGGTATTTAGGTAGAAAACATTGTAGTCTACAGATACAAACTCGATTTTTACAAAACGTGAGGTAATCAAGCTGGTTTTGATATCCTCGAATCCCGGGCTAAGACGAACGCTTGTAATGTAGAAAGTATGTTCCAATTATTCACGAGACCAATACACTCCAAGCTGTCTAATTCTTGCAAATACTACCCGAAAGGGTTATATATTGGTATTTAGGAAGAAAACATTGTAGTCTACAGATACAAACTCGATTTTTAGAAAATCTGAGGTATTCAAGCTGTTTTTGACATCCTCGAATCCCGGGCTAAGACGTACCCAACGCTTGTAATGTAGAAAGTATGTTCCAATTATTCGCGAGACCAATACACTCTGAGTTGTCTAATTCTTGCAAATACTACCCGAAAGCGTCATATATTGGTATTTAGGTAGAAAACACTGTAGTCTACAGATACTAAGCCGATTTTACGAAAACTGAGGTAATCAAGCTCTTTTTGATATCCTCGAATCCCGGGCTAAGATGTACCCAACGCTTGTAATGTAGAAAGTCTGTTCCAATTATTCGCGAGACCAATACACTCTGAGTTGTCTAATTCTTGCAAATACTACCCGAAAGGGTTATATATTCGTATTTAGGTAGGAAACATTGTAGTCTACAGATACAAACTCGATTTTTACAAAAACTTAGGTATTCAAGCTGGTTTTGGCATCCTCGAATCACGGGCTCAGACGAATGCTTGTAATGTAGAAAATATGTTCCAATTATTCACGAGACCAATACACTCCGAGCTGTCTAATTCTTGCAAATACTACCTGAAGGCGTCATATTTTGGTGAACTCTTGTAATGTAGAAAGTATGTTCCAATTATTCGCGAGACCCCTGCACTCCGAGCTGTGTAATTCTTGCAAATACTACCTGAAAGCGTCATACATTGGTATTTAGGTAGAAAACATTGTAGTCTACAGATACAAACTCGATTTTAACGAAATGTGAGATAATCAAGCTGGTTTTGATATCCTCGAATCCCGGGCTAAGACGAACGCTTGTAATGTAGAAAGTATGTTCCAATTATTCGCGAGACCAATACACTCCGAGCTGTCTAATTCATGCAAATACTACCCGAACACTACAAAAATGACTTGGTTTCCTGAAATCTGGAAACCAACCGTATACACTGGGTAAATGGGGAATCCAGTTGGTTTCCATTCACTGAAACTGAGTAACTGAGTTTCCAACTAGATTCCATTTTGGATTCTGTGATTTTTGAATTTCCGTAAATGGAAACCAACAAGAAACTAAGGTCATAGGTTTCCTGTTGGTTTCCATTCCTGGAATTTGCAGTTGGATATTTCCATGAATGGAAACCAACAGAAAAACATAAAATGTAGTTTCATGTTGGTTTCCTGAGCACTGTTTTGAACAAGTAACTTAAGAATTGTAATGGTCTAGCATGAAGTTGAACATCCTGGCGTCCAGTTGGTTTCCATTCACTGAAACTGGGTAACCTAGTTTCCTAATAGAATGGACACTGTAAACTTATAGTGTCGGTAATGGAAACCAACAAGAAACTTCTGCGTATGTGTGCACTGTCGGTTTCCATTCCTGAAACTTAGGTTTGCTTTCATATCATATTACATTATTATGTAGAATAATGAGGTCATTTACAAATATAATTTAAGCTGATTATGCTTTGATGGGGAGAATTGGGGTGGGGTGGGGTGGTTGGTGGCTGGGCAGGGCGTTCGGTGGTTAATATAATGATATTTCGGTGTGTCTTGATGATACAAAAAAACAAAAGACGTTTTCATTTCTTTCATTTCTTTCCCTTCTTTGTTTTTTCACTATCAACAGAGAAATGAGGTAGTATCATATTTACACTACCATACACAAAAGATTGCGCAAAAACATTGTATTTATACATACAAATGGTGAGGTAAAGGAACAACAATTAAATATGGCCTTTGTCCAGCTCTCTCAGTGCACCAGGCACACTTAGACTGGATTCTGTGGATTGGGATGAATGAGGCAGGTCCAGGGCTTAGTTGTCTGCTTTGCCAAACTCAGGTTGGTGGCAAATAACCGAGGTTGGAGTCCGATGACTTGTACCACTCGACAACAGCAAATATATGGTCTGTGAAAGTTTCCCCGGTTGTCTCAATTGTGTGTTTCAGGAAGTATTTTATCTTTCCTGAGCGGTAACTTGATGCTGATATGTTGGATCTGTCATCGGTCCATGATAATGTCAGGGGTGCTGCACTGCCCATATCCTTCCGAGGTGTAAAATTCATTGTTGAACAACATGGTTGGACAGAACACCAGATCTGGAACCTGAAACAATACAAAATTTGTTCAATGTGGTCAGAAAATTATAAAATATTAATACACATTACAGAAAGTAGAAATTTCTCCTTGTATTCACAAGAACGTTTCTACCACACAGATAGAAATATTGCACACATATGGCTTATTTGAGCATTTGATTTACTTGACTTGTAGAGTTAATCATGTCTAAAATTAATATACCTGAGCATTATTTACAATACAGTGAAACCCGAATAAGTAAAACTCCAAGGGACCATGGCAAAAGTTGCTCCTTATCCGTATTGCCACTTATCCATTCAAGCAAGTTGTATCACATTTCCAAGTAAAGTAAATAGACATCGTATCCCCATTGTATCACGACAACCTGACCCCTTCACCTGGACCATTCAATAAATTATCTGCAGATCAAAATAAAATAAAATAAATAGATATATACAAATTTGATTCATTTTTTAACAACACTCATCATTAAAAAACATTTCATATAAAAGTACATGTAATATCACCTGTTATGATATCACACATTTGAATCAGCATCACACTGTCGTTTAACTATAGGGTTACACTAATAGTTTCACACGGAAAATGAATCAACTAAAAGAAGGCCTTGAACGAACGAAATTAGATGTTTAAACGGCCTTGATACATGTCTGGTTGGTTTTCATACCTTTTCTCCTTTGCTAGCATAGGGAATCCTGTCAACACTGTTGTTCCATCAGATTGTGACAACCATACTGCACAATTTTGTGATCAATGGTGGCACTCTGTTGGAACTTGCCCCTTTACTCAGATCCGCTATATCCAGTGTATGGCAGATTTGACACCGATTGGGATTAATTATGACAATAAACAACATACAGGAAGAGACTAATTAGTCGGCTCGTTAACAACGAAGTGGTTGATGCCAGGTGATACATGGTAATTACTGCTGAGTGTATCCACAAGGACTGGTCCGAGTATTGTCACATTTCTGTAGTAAATTGTCCGAAGGGATTGTTGAGAGAGAAAGGTTTACTAAACAGACTTGCCACTTATTCGTTTTTACTTATCCATCATGAAATAATGAAGGTTATTGAGAAAAAGGTTTACTTAACCAGGGTTGCCATTCATCAGTAGTTTACTTATCGGGGTTTCAATGTATATAAAGTAACATGTAAATATCATATCCTGAATTATTACATTTGAAACATATGCAAAACAAAAGATAGTATCAATGCACACCTCCTCTTTGTTTTGGTCAATCAAGGATGGGGCACTTGCTTTATCTGAAATGACATAATAACACAATGATATGCAAGAATAAAATTTTGAAAGGTGAATTGACTCAGCATATAAAGGTACATTAGTCAAACTTTCTATTTACCTATGAACTGATGCTGTTGTTGTCGAACCAAGATGCTGAGTGTTTATAAAGAACTGATCCTTTCGGCACACCAAATCACTATACTGTTAGAATTTGTATTTACATAACACCATGATGTCACCAGACTATGAGTCCTACTCTGTGTTCCCCATATTGTATGGGGAATGTATGCAGAAGACTTTGTACTTCTGTGAAACATCATTAATGTCTTTAGAAATAATGTACAACTTACCATTGTTAGTAAGCCATCTCTTGTGATTGTATGCTGTTTTACGTGAGACATATTGATTACAGTGCTCACAGTAAACTTTATTCACCCTGAAAAGGAAATTGAAAGTTGAATTACTAAACCGTTATGGTATATCTAACATTGAAAAAAAAAACACAAAATATGTATTTTTCATAATAATTATCATAATAATTGAGTTAATATTCTAAGTCACATTTTATCTAATATACATGTATATGGATGAATGGTATTCTACGATGAATACTACTGTAGTAATGCCGAATCTTAAACGTAAAAATAACGTTTGCTTTGGAATATGAAAAGAGTATTTGGGATGGTAACAATAATGTCATTTAAACAATCGTCATCCGGTACTTACATGATGGGATTTCTCAATAACCAGAATATCAAAGATTTACTATGAATTGAGGTAGTTGAGGGTTTAAAGTGAGTAACATTTACCAGTAAAAGCGTTTATAGCTAGTATGCTTTAACACTGAGAACTTGACAAATAATCAGTGTCAGGTCAATTGAGTGTCGGGATTCGTTTGTCGGCTTCCTTGGGCTTGTCTCGTCTTAGGGGCTCCTATTATCAAAATGAAATAGCTGTAAAAACAATGGGAACTTACCTGATCATGTGTTGACAGACGAAACCATGTGTTGACAGACGAAACCGGAAATAATGAGTCGGTGGGCACGCGAACTCGTGAGATTTCATCAAAACAACGATTTATGTGCCAAAGTGGTCATTTTCAACTTTTGTCTTGAAATCACAACCAAATTGGGTCTAGATAATGTTTTCATACCTGCCAATCGAAAAGGATTACGTATTTGTTATTACCCACAATGCCCCTAATCCCGTTTGTAACCCTCAATATTGCCGCCATTTTGTCTCTTGATCTCAGGAGTTGTTTTGAAAGTAGCCCTAATCTGTGGCACCCGTTTATACGACATGCTATACAAGAAACTCAACACAATGGATTATTTCTACGCTTGTACGTATTATCTAAATCGAGAAAATGGCATCGAGAGTGTCTCTAGAAGCTTTGGAGGTTCGTGTACGCGAACTGGAATTCAGCAGCAGTCGTCTATCACAGAGAGAGAAACAGAACGTCCCACGACCTTATCAGGTACAGTGAAAGTTTCTTGATATTACATTTCCCAATAGAATGTTATTCGTTTATCGTAATAAATAACTAGGACAATAAATATTATGATGACTTGATGGAACTCGACAAGCAAATGCGTGTGGACATTTTGGCAAGGAGATTATTATTACCCAGTGCCCCGTCAACTCAAGAACTCATTCATAATGGTAATGTATGAAATATTATGTTTGCAATAAATATATAGACCACATATATATCCAGCAATATTACTGACACGTTGTAAAGACTCAAGATCACTTCCAAACGTATTTAGATTTAATAAATACGAATATTTTCCTTATGTAAGAAAACCAGTGTTTGGAAATTCGTTTAAAGTTTGTTATTGAAAATTGCTTTTGATATTTGAACCAGTACAGGTGGGGATAGCCAGTCATTTTGTATTTATAGGAATTCTTTGGCCAAATTTGGTGCATGGTTACAGATTGTTTAATAACAATCAAACACTTCCATACAAAAATTCTATGTCTTGTTAGTTACATTTTCATATGTATATATATATATGCCTGTATACCTGTACATATATATATATATGATACTTTATTGGTGTGGAGTGGATATATTATCTATTCAATATTTTTTTTTGAAACTGATTTAGAAAAGGGTTTTCAAACTAAGTAAGATATTATTAATGTATTATGTAATTTAACTATATTATTTGATTTAACCAATTTTACACTTATGTCAAGAATTTTATCTGAAGAGATGTGGATTGTGATGCACAGAAAAGTTTGCATAGAAAGTTTCAATAATGAAATATTATGTTTGCAATAAATATATAGACCACATATATATCCAGCAATATTACTGACACGTTGTAAAGACTCAAGATCACTTCCAAACGTATTTAGATTTAATAAATACGAATATTTTCCTTATGTAAGAAAACCAGTGTTTGGAAATTCGTTTAAAGTTTGTTATTGAAAATTGCTTTTGATATTTGAACCAGTACAGGTGGGGATAGCCAGTCATTTTGTATTTATAGGAATTCTTTGGCCAAATTTGGTGCATGGTTACAGATTGTTTAATAACAATCAAACACTTCCATACAAAAATTCTATGTCTTGTTAGTTAGTTACAATTTCATTGTATATATATATATATATATATGCCTGTATACCTGTACACACACATATATATATATATATATATGATACTATATTGGTGTTGAGTGGATACATTATCAATTCAATATTTTTTTAAACTGATTTGGAAAAGGGTTTTCAAACTAAGTAAGATATTATTAATGTATTATGTAATTTAACTATATTATTTGATTTAACCAATTTACACTTATGTAAAGAATTTTATCTGAAGAGATGTGGATTGTGATGCACAGAAAAGTTTGCATAGAACGTTTAATAATAAAGTTGTTATTAATAGGGATACACTTATACATAGTCAATTTAAAATAATATATGAATTATTCATATCTGGTTTCTTTTCATATTATTGTATTCTACTGATATTTATTCTTCTGTTTTTGCCTTATTGTTTTCTTAATCGATTAATTTCTACATTTCCAGCAATCCATTAGGGCAGTGGTGGAAAAATTGAAGAAGGCGACCGATGACCAACTGATTTTGACCTACAACAGGTAACTCAAATCCTTCAGTATAAACAATTCTGTGTACATGAAAAGAAATTACAACAAAGTTATGGCCATGTTGAAGGTGAACATCTTTTCATATTTGTATTAGCACTACATTCATGTATGTCATTTTGTAATCCTCCCTACAGAATTTGCAATGCACAGCCATATTATTTCAGTAACATAATTTCAAATATTATTGTTTCTTTAAAATGCAATTGTGAAATAAAGTTATTTTATCCAGTCTTCACTAGTACTCACAATGCTAAACCATGTTTAAAAAAAATGTAAATCCTATAAATCGGGAAAATGCATAAAAACAGCTACTATTTTTTAACATCCAAATGGAAATACTTTCTACTTATACATATCTCCTTTCAGAAGCTTTTTGGTGGGTGTGGACCAACAAGAGGGATGACCTGAGAAGACAACAAAGTGGAAAGGCAGAGGCCCACAGGTTGTCTGCTAAGAACAGCAAAAGGGTCAGATCAGTAAGTACAGAATATCTAATCATTCTAAATTCTAATCTTACACAGGTTAAAGTTTTAACATAAACTTGATTGGAAACAATTGGAAGTTAATGTAACTTCTTGTATTGTACTGTGACATTCAAAAGAAATTTCAAAATGAACATTTTTTAATAAGTTTTAAATAGTAAAGCGCCAGTGTATAGTTTTGTTTTAAATGTGTGGTCATTCTAGTCGACTAGAAACTGAATGGGAGTTCCCCTCAATCTTATATCTCACATTATTGTATTTGCAGTTTCTAACAAGTGTGGTGGTGTTAATAAATAATTGTTAATTGTTGTGTTCAAGGTGAAATGTTCAGACCAAAAACAACTGTGTAAGAAAATATGCTTCCTTTGACACAATAATGGGTAATTCATAGTTCTATACACATAATATCTAAACATGATTTATGCAACATTCAGAAGATAAGATGGGTTTCACAGGAACATTTTGCAGATAAGTACAGTGACCAGTATTTCATAAATTTAGTGAGCATTCATAAGGTATATTATTGATTCAATGTCAGTTTCCCATAACTCACATTTATAATTTATTGAAAGAGAATCAGTCATGAAATGTCCAACCCAAGCTAAGGAAATATGTCCTTCTCTCACTTGTGTCTGTACTCTTTCAAAATTCATTAAGTTGTACTGTGATTGAAATCTTTGCCCCTTTACAGGTCATTTCAGGTGATTAGTTAGATTTCTTATTACTACTATTTCCCTTATAGAACAGTAGTTTCAATTTAGTTTTCCTACAGCAATATTGGGTGGTTTTCTTTTTTCTAGCTACGGATATTGTTGACGAATGCTTGTTTGTACTGATTGTTTATCGTTTTCTAAATTTCAGAAACTGGAAAGCAGGCTGAAGGCCATTGCAACCATAGACTGGCCGGAGAAGAAGAAGGAGAAAGTTCTACCTCTCTAGAGGGAAGAGCTGACATCACCCATGGTGTCAGACGAAGAGGATGAAAATCTTCTCTTGTCAACTGCTTTCTGGTGGGAAACCAAGACACTTTGTTCATATAAGCGACAATTGGACAACCAGCGGTTGTTCAAGGCTACTGCAAGGGGCCGAAAAATATGAAGATGTGGGAAGACATCCCACACAAGTCCAACACGCTGATCTGCCACTGGACATGCCCAGTTGGGCAGTGAAAAGTTCAGCAGAAGAAGACCAGCTGAACAACACTGCTGATTTTGATTCCTGAGACACATTTCTGATGTCCCATGCTGTGATGTTGCTTGAATATTGCTAAAAGCGGAGTAAAACTATACTCACTTACTCTTATGTCCCTGATGTTATGTACATGTAGCTAGATACATAATTAATTAACCATGTTCACAATCAAAGAGTTTTGACTGTCAATAAACTTTTCATTCATTTGTGTTCTATTCTGTGATTTGTCATCTTAAAGGTTTTACCATTATTCAATTGTATAAAATACCTGATTTGCTATCTGATACATGAAACACCTGGGGGAGCAGGTAAATAGCCAGCATTCAGTTTCATAGAAACCAGGTTTGAAACAACAATATTCTAAACACATGGAAAGCAGCAGGAGCTTAAATGGAGGAGTGGGTAAAGTATTATGAAATTTACGACCTGGAAACTAGGTTGAAACCAACAATAAACAAAACCATGGAAACCAGGTTGAAACCTACAATAAACGAAAAAATGGAAACCAGGTTGAAACCAACAATAAACGAAAAAATGGAAACCAGGTTGAAACCTACAATAAACGAAAAAATGGAAACCAGGTTGAAACCTACAGTAAACGTAAAAATGGAAACCAGGTTGAAACCTACAATAAACTAAAACATGGAAACCAGGTTGAAACCTACAGTAAATTTAAACATGGAAACCAGCTGGATCCTGCTTGGAGGAGTGGGTAATGAAACGCACTGGAAACCATCCGGAAATGGTGCAAAATTCAGTTTCAGTTTTCATGGAAACCACACTGAAACTTTAGGAAACTACATGGAAACCAACTGGAAATGGTGGTTTCCATGCCGTTTCCTCTCAGTTTCAGTGTTCCGGAAACCAACTTATTTTTGTAGTGAAAGAAATCATGCCATGATTCTCCGAACCTGGCCGGAGCAACCTTTACAAATGAGTTTTCGAATGACTTTGCTTACAACCACAGTCTTAGTAAACGTAGGCTCAGTATTATTCGTTACACTGTTATACTGAGTCTAACAAAACCTAGTAGAAGGTCGCGCCAGCTAACCTTTCTTTGAAATTACCCCATCAGAACACAGCTTACTCAAATCGCGAAAGTTAACATTCGCACATACTGTTTGAACCTTTACCCAAAACGAACTGATTCCGAAGTACGATATTTTCCTAACGATCGCTTCCGAGCGATACACGCAATGAGCAAACAGTCGCTGAAAATAGCGTTTCGGTTAATATTCAGATGTCATCTTATGAAAATATAAACCATGTCATTAGAAACCCATAGTATATACCAGGTGGTCAATATCTGTGTTTTATGCGGATTTTCGATTGTTGATAGATCAGTGCTCAACGACCAGGAAGAGAAAATTCAAAACCGTTTTGTAAGTCCCAATAACAAGTAGTTGTCAGATTGTTAAATCCGTTCGACCGTTCCTGTCTCTGTGCTCTATTGACGATCATAGGTCGTTTGTGTTGTTGCTGGATCGTCAGTATAGCAGTGTAACGAATAATGGCAGAGCCTAGGCTTTACTAGACTGTTTACAACTATGGTATGTTGTCTCTGGGTCACGCCAGACGAAATACTGAAGGTCAGATTCTTGCCTTTATGTCCTTGTATTGTACGACAAGACAAAGGTATACGCACAAGGGTTGGCTTGATGTTCAACGCTTCGCACTCAAATAATATTCCACCAATATGGCGGCGGTATGTAACAATTGAGTCTGGACCAGACAATCCATTGATCAACAGGCATGAGCATATCGTACGCGGGAGTAACGCTGGTTACTCTTTAGAATCTCTCTGCAACGTATAGCAGGCGCCAGCAGTCAAAATTCGATGAACATATCTCAATAAGGAACAGCCCTCCAACGAACAGCATATCTAAACAACAGGCAATACGTCTCACTTGCCGAGGGGTGTGACACACAAGGCCCGCAAGTTCAAAAGGAACACCAAAGAGCTATTTCAACAACATGACAAGCCCAAATTCCAGGACAGAGGATAGAGGTTAAGAACAACCATTTAAGAAGCTATGCTCAAATAGCAAGTGGATGAACAAACCTTTGCTGCTGCTGTGAGGGCGACGTTCTCGCGGCAGGTTCTAACAACGTAATCAAAACAGAAGTGATGAACAGCATGAGGATAGAGAAGCATATATGCAAGTTAGAGGAGATGTTAGTACAGTACAATAGAGCTGATTAGGGAAGCCAGACAAAAAAAGCAAACACAAGGGTTTGATGATGACAGCGTACGCCAAGGAGAGAAATGTATCACCCACATTATTTGTTATTTTTATGAATGATATTTTGAAATGTCTTTTTGGCATGTCCTCTAGGGTCGTTGATCGTCAGTTACACCCTGATCTCAATTCAATGTGCTATGTCCTAAATCCATACGTGGAAGAAGCACTCCCGCTTCTTCTTAGTATCGCTCTCAGTGAAGACTAAACTAACAACTAGCCTCTGAAATGAACATATTTTTACAGAAAAAGCTTTATATAAAAAAATATATATATATATATTTACAATAAAAGGAGCCCTGAGATTCTTCTTTCTTCATTTTCAAATGTGGAACTCTAGACTTCGGCCACATTTTCTAGACTTGCGTGGGATTTCTTTGGATATATTTGCTGGGTTGTGGTCTGTATGACAGACTAAGTGAAGACATGCGGTGGTAGTGTAGAGCTAGTAACATATAATATATTTACCAAGGAAACATCCATCCAATCACAGGGTGCGGCGAGATGTGAAACTACTTGACCATGACGAAGCGGACCTTGGTTTGGCGCTGTGCAATAAATGTAGTTATAACCTCTTTAATTGTCCATTGTCTAGATATCTGAGATGACCTGCAGGACCTAGTGATGTCCACGAGTGAAGAATTATCCACCCACTGACCCAGGGTTCGTAACCATGATACAGGGATATGGGTGTTAATGTAGGCTGCCGCCCTTCTTTCCACATGCAACACCAACGTGACCCTGTAAGACCTAACTAGTTTGTTCGCCAATTCACCCCATGCTACACTAATGCTACGTATTTGATATTGATTTTAGAGGATTTATGCTGCCAGACAAACAGAACGTTAATGTAAATATTACTGCTTTTTAAACAAATCTTGTAGAAAAATTTTCCACTTGGCACCTTTGGCTCGCAATTTATTTGACTTGATTGCCGTCAGATGTTAGAATAAGCTTATTTTGTGATTGGCAACATGTTATCAACTTAAGGAGGAACGGTAACAAGTTCTTGAATATAGAACCATATCATCAATTTAGAAGTATTTGTTTGCTTCGTTTTGGGAGAACCAGGGCTCTGGATTTTTTCGAAGTTTTGCAGCTTTAGAGATAGTCGTAAAGTGCCATACATTGACGATTAACTTACACCTATCTTAGCGCTAAAGGAGAGGCTCCGAAAATCTAGACCCTGGGCTCTATTCACCGAATGGGTACAGTGTGTGAAGCCCATTTCTGAAAGGTGTCCCCGTGAATGATTGTACTGGAATATTGCTAAGTACGGTGTAAACCATACTCACTCACTCATAATTGGAACACATTTATACAGTAATGTACGTATTTTTTAATGGAGTGTAGCAGTTGTTCTGCATGTTATTTATTTCCTAACGTATATGTCTGGCCACATTTATCTGTTACTTTGTGTATATGTTTATGGAAAGAGCATTATAATTTGGACAACTTTTTGCCCAATCCATTTGACCTTTTAGAACAATAAAATAGGTTTAAAACAAGTACAGAATTGGTGCAGAAGATTGGCGGAGATTAGAACTGACATTTAACTAGACTGCTCTAGTAAGTTGCCAGTATCCAACTTTACCAGAATAAGGCCGGCCTCTGAGTAGAAATTATGGAGGCTAGTGGAAGGGACATTGCTTTCCTCGTCCTCGTGTTATCGCTTTCCCGCACTTCACCATAAGATGTGTCGATACAAGAGATGTATTCTACAATAATTTTGTTTATATTTGTTTTGTTTGTTTGTTTGTTTTGTTTTACTGTTTAAGGCCGCACTCAGCAATATTCCAGCTATATGATACAACGTAATATTCGTAGATAATCATCAAGTCTGGGGCCAGACAATGATCTAGTGATTAACAGCATGAGGGCATTGATCTATAGAGCAATTTGGAGTATTATTAAGGATGATTCAAATATTGAGTATTGAAGCGTGTTTGGAGAATGACTTGTGTAACGTTCGTTACAGATAATATACTACTATGTGGAATCATCCCGTAATCCTATAATACCAGCTGAAAACTGACAATGTGTCAATGTAATTGGAATTCACAATGGAAACCCTTTATAATGTAAATTTTTGAATCACAAAATCTGCAGACAATCGACAATTGCTTGCCAAATAATTAGTGGT